AGTTTGAAGGTTAGTCATTTTATTTCGTATTTCTGTCGCTTTTCTATGTTCATCTTCATATTCCTTCCCTCATCGTTTATTTTGTATTTCTTTTAGTGGATTCAGTTCTAAGGCCCGACTCGACGTTTGCTGATTATTTTTTGTGTTGTTCATTTGTTAATTTGTTGATTTTGTTTGCGAGGTGTTCATTTGGGGAATTAGGTTCTCAATTTCTGTGGGCCAAATGCAATGATGCTTATTTGTGTGTGGGTCTGTTTATGTCGTTGTTAGATTTGAGATTTGTATGATTGAGGGCCATGAAATGTTGTTTTCGTTAAGAGTTTTTGGCCGAGGACGCTCCAGTTATATCGACATTTTTGGTATCAAATGCGGTCGTGGTGAGACCATGAATTGTGAAGGAATAATTTTGCGTTCTGCCACAATTCTCGGTCACGTTAACGGTCGGGGTTAGATCGGAAATATCGTCTGACGAAGAATATCAACCAAGTTTGCACGTGAATTGCTTTCTGTCGACATTCTCGGTCACAACCATGGTCGAGGTCTTGATCAAGAATTTCGACAGAACATGCCCTTTACTGAGTTTTTTTCGTTGGTTGTTCATTATCTGTCACGATTACGATCGTGGTTGGACCGAGAATTTCAACATAATTATGGTTTTTTTTTTCTTTTTCGTTGTTTGTTCTTTTGTTTGGCATATGTATTTGTGGTTAGCTTATTACTGAGTTTGTATATATTCTTATTGTATTTCAGGTTGATAAGATGACAATGGTACATAAGATCCATCCATCTAGCTATTGTTCTGCCAAATTGACATGTCTATCCCACTTAGACCCTGTTTACCTACCAATAATCGGAATGGAAATGAATCGGAATCAAATAAATCGGAATAAGAATGTTATTCCTTTGATGCTGTTTATCAGAGATTTTCTAGAATTGGAATCAGAACTCCTTTGATGCTGTTTACTAAAACTGTTTGGAATTGGAATTGGAATCAGATATATATGACAATTACTAGTATACCCATCATGTCTTCTTTCTAGCTTATCACAAATACATTGTGGTGCTATTTTTTTTACTTACAATAATAATTTATTTTAATTTTTCTATTACTATATTATTGATAGTAAATATTTTTTTTACCGAAACATTTTATTTAATATTAATATTAATAAATAATAAATAATTTACATCCACTAAAATACTATTTTATTAGAACCATTATCATTTAAAATGTTATTAAATTTTATTATAATAATGTTATTAAATTTTATTATTATAATAATGAATTATATTTTAAAAATCTAATATTAATTGTAGACATCGTATTTTGTCCGGCGCGCTTTCGTTTCAAAAAAAAATTCTGATTTATTTATTATTTTATTATGTTTATTGATTTAGTTTAAAATAACATAATTTACTTTATTATAAGATTTAATATAAAGTTTTAATTAAATCAAATTAAGTTTTAAAATTAGATTTTGTTTGAAAATAATTGGTTTTAAGATTTAAAAAACTGTTTTTTTCCTCTCATTTGATTTTTCCCTTCGTTTCCCCCCTCCCTTCTTCTCCTCCTTTTTCTCTCTTCTCTGACCTCTTTTTCTTTTTTACCGCTATCTTTAGGTGTATTTAAAGAAGGCTCCAATGGAGAGGAGGAAACATACAGAAAACCCATACAGAGAAGAGGAATAAAAATCCATGTCCTTTCTCTCTACCATCACCTTTTCTTCTTCTTCACCCACACCGACGACCTTAACGATACTCCGACTGCACACGTCCCCCGACGATTACAAGTTCCGACAACCCGCAGCACAGTAGTCCGGCGCAAAGCTCTATAATCCTGACAGACAACAATAATATAACGAACAACTTCTACAATCGACGCATAGATCTCCGGCAACTTGACTCCCACCTCAAGCGCCCCTTCACGATTTCAGACCCGCGAGCACACCAAGGATTTCGTCACTGTAGTACGTGATATTGAAAAAAAAAATGCTTAAGAAATGATTTGATTTTTTTAAAATAAATTTGTTTTAAATATGAGTTTTTAAATAAGTTTGTTTTAAATTTGATATATACGAATATATTTTTTAAAATAAGTTTGTTTAAATATGATTTGATTGTTTTAAAAATAAGTTTGTTTTAAATATGATTTGATTTTTTTTTAAAATAAGTTTGTTTTAAATATGATTCTTTTTTATATGAATTTGTGCTAAATTTGATTTTATTTAAAAAACAAGTTTGTTTTAAATATAATTTTTTTTCTTTAAAACAAGTTTTGTTTTAAAAGTTTTTTTTTCAAGTTTTAAGGAAGTTTGTTATAAGGATTTCAAATTTAAAACAAGATAAAAGTTTTTTTTTTTCGGATTTAGTTTTAATTTTTCTTTTTTTTAAACAAATTTTCAAAATAAAAATTTGTCTGATAAAAAATTAAAACTAGGTTGTATCATGTGGCATTGACATAGTGGTAGGTTTCTTAGGAGTAATTCACATGTCTCAAGTTTGAGTCTTTACTCGCCTAAATTAATGTTATTTTTATATCATTGTTTTTACAAAACAGCTATTTTAGATAAAATATTTTTTTAAATAAAAAAAAATTTCATTTCTTTTTAACAAATTTCAAATATTAAAACATTTATATAAAAAAATTAAGTAATATCTTAAGATGTTGGCACATTGGTAAGAAATTTGTATATTGACTCTTATGTCACAACTTCAAGTCTTGATGAGCCCTACACTAAAATTATTTTTTATTTATTGGATATTTCCAATATTCTCGAGGTGATAAAATTTTTCTAATGGCCTTCGTGCCACTCATATCTATTAATTCATATCTTATAACAAAGTGTGAATTAATATAACGTGGGACATTCCAATCAAAATACAAAAATAATTTTCTTTTGGACCAAATAAAATAATAGGATAATTTTTGACAAAATATGATACCGTTTTCGAACGGGTATCATAGGATGCTAACACCTTCCCTATGCTCAGCCGACTTCCGAACCTAAAATCTGTTTTTCGTAGACCGAGTTTTTAAAATAGGTGACCAATCACACCTCGTAGATGATTGGTGGCGACTCCAAACCCTAATCTAGAAAGAGACCGTCAGGGGATGACGTTGTCGCTCCATGTCGCAATGACGTTACGACAGCTTGGCGACTTCGCTGGGGAACTTTAGAGAGTCAAACCATTATTTTTGTCATTTATTATCCTATTATATTTCTTTTTTTTTCTTTCTTGTTCGCTTTTTTTTTATGTTGTATTATTAATTTGGTTTGGCATCACATGC